ACCTGCCAATGATGAAATTTATTTTCTATGAAAACACATCTTGACATTGTCTCATGAATGATGTTCTCAATAACTTATCTCAACTGATGTTAGCCATGTTATTGCTGCAATAGATTCAAAATTTGTTTCCATTGAAGTCTACAGGTTTGAAACCTGTTGAGTGACATATTTTTTGTATTAGAACATATCTTAGATATCTGCTCATATACAGCATTTAAAATGTTGATCTTCATTGGTCTTAGTCAAGTTGTCACCAGAGTTCAAATCTGTTTCTCTTAAACTGAGGTTTGAAACCTACCAATGATAACATGTTTATTTTTATTCAATGAAATCACACCTTCACATTTCCACATGAATCTTAAAATGAATTGGAAGGCCTTAATTTTCTGGTGGTATTATGACTTTCTTGGAAGAGAAACCAAAAAAATTCAAAGCTGGCATATGGAACCATGTTCCACTGCTAGCCTTGCAGCAGCTTGTTTTATGATCCACACCAACTGTTGAATATTGTCTGAGTCACTCTCTATCATATCCAACTTGATATGCATCAAACCCTTAAATATCAAACATCAGACATCAGGTTTCACATTGGCCAATCAGACATTACACACACACACACACTCATGCTATCTATGTCTCATCACATCCTGCTAGTCCTGCTAGGTGTGCAATTTGTTATTTTTCACATTACTCAGATCATAGATGGTGTTATTACATGTTTTCTCATAGTCCATAGCACCTCTTGTTTTATTACGGAGAACATTGGACCTAATATCATGCTACAACTTTTGCCTACATACTTCTGTATTTCTATATAGATAGATAAATAGTTGGAATTACTCCAGTATCCCCACAATTCCAGTAGAGGTGAGCACTTCTCTGATACTTAGATTTATGACTTATATTAGTTTGACCAATGAAGATCAAATTCTGAAAAACTGTTCATGAACAAATATTCAATTGAGCATGTTGCAATATGAAAAAAAAAGTATCATCTGATAGGTTTCAAACCTACAGACTTTGATGAGAACACATTTTAAATCTATCATAGCAATGATGTGGCTAAGACCATTTTTAAATGAGTTTTTGAGAAAACTATTTATGAGGAAATATTAAGATGTGACATCATAGAATGAAAATGTTATTATTGGTGGGTTTCAAACCTACATGGTGCAAGAGAAACAGATTTTGACTCTGGTGAAAACTCAACTAAGACTGATGAAGATTAATGTCCAAGAGACTGACTGTCTATGATTCAATATTCAAGGTATGTTCTAATAGAAAAAAATGCAGCATTCAATAGGTTTCAGACTGTCAAGGTACTTTTCATAAAATCAAAAATGTTATCATCAGTAGGTTTCAAACCTGTGCAGTCCAAGAGGATCAGGTTTTGACTCTGATGATCAGTTGACAATTTCATCTTTAGCAGGTTTTGAACCCATATGGACAGATTTGGATTCTATTGTATTAACTGCTTGGCTAAGACCAATCAGATGCACTACCAATGAGCCCATTCAGATATGAATCCTCAATTTACATTTATCCTATCAAGACCCACCTAATGGACTATTTCACTTATGGGAGAGAGTTGTAGTACAGTGTGGGAGGATTGCTAGGGAGGAATGTCAGAAATTGATAGAAAGTATGCCTAGGAGGGTAGCAGCAGTCATTAAAGCTAAGGGAGGAAACACTAAGTACTAGAATTATAAAGATTATGTATATCAGATTCAAACTCAAAAAAGTGTCCCAATGAGTCACCTAATTAAAATGTCCATATCTTCGCACACCATGATCGGATTTCCACGCTATATGGAGCGAAATTGTAGCCGAGAGGCGGGGCTTTTTGGGACCTCCCATTGGCTTAGTCAGGTTCTCACACCCTGGCGCGCAATAAGACAATTACATGAACACCTACAAACATTGGGACACTTTTTGAGCCACTGTATATGTTCCGTCCACAGCCTTGCATAGCTTCGGACTGTGCTGACTGATTCTCTGTTAAGTCCTCAGTAGTATATAAACCCTGTAGAATCTTTGTACTTCCTTAGTTCGAATATTATCTTAGACTCTGCTCATTCCCTCCTCCGTCTGACTTGACTTCCCTCTCATCGTCCTCCACTAGTCTTAGGATTGACTCCTATAGACCTGTCACCTCCACCTCTACCTCTGGGAGTCCTCCACTGTTTCCTCTCTAGTTCGGACATTGTCTGGATTAGCCTTATCACATGTTCCTGAACGTCCGCTGGAATTCCTGCGCATCAGATATCGGACTCCGGACATCATCCGACAACCTTCGGACATTGTTCAACAGCCTTCAGAAGTTAGGGGCACATACTTGGGTAAGGGGTACAGTGCACAAACTGAAGCCAAGCCCTTTGGATTTGACCCTTGAGCACATTCTGAACACATGCTTAATTGAAGATTTTCTCATGGATGGTTTCTCAGTCTTTGATCTTCCTTATTTCTAGTTCAGGGGTTATCAAAGTCAAAATCTGATTCTCCTGGACTGAGCAGGTCAAAAACATGTATCACTCAGCAAATTTCAAGCATGTACAGTCTAATATAAACAGACTTCAATTCTGTTGTAACAATCACTTAGCCAAGACTGGTGAGACAACCATCCACGAGCAAATGTTCAAAGTATATTTCAATGAAAAAAAAGTTTCAAATCTGCTCAGTCTAGGATAATCAGATTTTGAATCTATTGTGGCAATAACATGGCTAAGACTGTTTTTGAGAAAATGATTCATGAAGAAATGTCAGTGTGATTTCATAGAATGAAAATATCATCATCAGGAGGTTTCAAACCTGCGCAGTCTAAGAGAAACAGATTTTGACTCTGGTCACAACTTGACTAAAGACCAATGAAAATAAAAGTCTGAGATGCCATCTATGAGCAAATATTCGAGGCATGTTCTTATAGAAAAAAATGTGATGTGTCACTGGTTTGAAATCTGTTGCACTTCAATAGAAACAGATTTTGATTCTGTTATGATAACCACTTTGCTAAACACCAGTCTCAGTGGCTTTAAAGCAAATCAACCATGAGCATATGTCAAGGTGTGTTTTCATAGAAAATAAATTTTATCATTGGCAGGTTTCAAACCTGCATGGTCCAAGGACCACAGATTTTAACTCTGGTGATCTCTTGACAATTTCATCTTTGGCAGGTTTTGAACCCACACAGACAGATTTAGATTCTGTTGCATTAACTGCTTGACTAAGAGCAGTTGGATTCAATTCCAATGAACTCATTCAGAGGTGGGTCCTTAAGGCACATTTATCTGCATTTTATCAGCTCTTTCAATAGCATGGTCAGTATTGATTTTTTATCCTACTCTTATTGCAAAAGATAGACTTCCTGCTCGGGCTCTGGACTTTCTAACAATTTCCCTGAAAAAGTGCTGATGGAAGACCACCATGGTGGATCCATGAGTGAAAACTGACAATGGAAGGATCACAGTGTATTTTAACACAGAGTTCAATATATGACCAAAGTCTTGATGCAAACTCGGAAGGATAAGTACAATAACAATATAATTCTTTCTAAAAGTCTTAACTTGGCTGAAGAATAAAAAGAGCAGATTACACATCAAAGTTTCAAGTTTGATCCTAATAACCTGGAGAATTAGGAAAAATACAGATCTATTAAGGCTGATATTCTTTATCATGCTTATTCAAGTGATTGCCAGAGTCAAAATATATTTCTGTTGAACTAAGCAGGTTTGTAATCTGTATAATGATGTGTCTTTTGCATCAACTCGTGTTTCATCACATTCCACCATTTTGGATTTCATAGAATAAAAATGTTACTATTGGCAGGTTTTAAACCTGCACAGTGGAAGAGAAACAGATTTTAAATCTAGTAACAACTTGACCAAGACCAATGAAGATCAATGTCTGAGATGCTGTCTATGAGCAAATATTTAAGACACATTCTTGGAGAAAAAATGCAACATTCAATAAGTTTGAAACTTGTTGTACTCTGATGGAAACAGATTTTGATTCTGTTATGACAGCCACTTAGCTAAACACAACTGTGATCAGTTTGCAAGCAAACTGACTATGAGCAAAATTTTCAAGGTGTATTTTCATAGAAAATAAAATTTATCACAGGCAGGTTTCAAACCTGCACAGTCTAAGAGGTACAGATTTTGACTCTAATAATTACTTGGAAAATTCATCTTTAGCAGGTTTTGAACCCACACAGACAGATTTAGATTCAGTTGTTTTGACCACTTGGCTAATACCAGTTAGATGAACTCTCAATGAACCCATTCAGAAGTGACTTACATACTTTTGCCTATTTGCTGCACTTCTGACTTGCTTCTGTGTGCTAAGAATACACTTAGAATTACTTACATAGTACCATGTATCTTTTGACTCTAAACAACTTTCCACCATTATCTTGCATATTGTAGGACTCAAAGTCTAAAATATGCTATAACTGCTATTTGACACTGAGCGCTTGAAAGCACCTAAGCACAGAATTGTCACACTATTGTCTAAATACTTCTGATTTATCTCAGAACTTTCTCAGGTCATTAGAATCAAACTAGAAAGTTTGATGTGTAATCTGCTCTTTTTCTTCAACCAAATTGAGACCTTTTGGAGAGAATTAAATTGTTCTTATACTTATCATTCTGAGTTTGCAACAAAACTTTGGTCATACATTGAACTTTTGTGCCTTGAGGGTTCACTTCTGAATTGGAAGTGCATCTCACTGGTCTTAGCCAAGCAGTTGATATAACAGAGTTTAAATCTGTCTGTGTAGGTTCAAAACCTACTAAATATTAAATAGACAAGTGATCACCAGAGTCAAAATCTGTTTCTCTTAGACTACAGTGTATGTCACTAAGGGACAGCAACTCTCCCCAGGCCGCAATTTTGATTCATATGTGCTTAGATTGAAATTTTGATAGGAAACTTAGACGAAAGGAGCGTAAATCTAAATTTTCGAAATTTCGCCTGATTACGTAATTGTTCACTTTTGCTGTCGAATGCCTCCTCCTACCAAAAGACAGAAGCAAGCGAAGCAGCAGTATGCTTCATCATCGAGGTGCTTTGACAATGGGCTGATAAAAGATGTTTTTGAAGTCTTTCTGGACCCAGATTATGTGCCTGTCTCAGATGCCGAAAGTGAAGCAGACTCCGAGTCCGACTTTAATGGAGCATTGTCATTCAGTCTCATAGACGGCAAGTTCCTTCTCACAGTATCCCAGGAAAGGTCTTAATGCGCGTCAAGCTGAATTTGCCATGAAGAAATACAAGTCGCATCGTCGGTGCGGTCCTACATTGATGATGAACTTGGGTGTTCTCGTCGACTAATCGCGGAGTCGGCCGTCAGATGCCGCATACCCAAATAGGAAACTCCAACACGCTCCGCTCGAAATTCACTTTTGGCTAGCGAAAATTTTGAAACTTAAGTTTTTTGAAAAAGTATTCTGATAGACTTACTATACTACTCTAACATAGCACATTTGTTAGGTTTTTGAGACGAACGAGGTATTTCTGAAGGTGTAGATAGAATTACAAGTTTTGATGTCGGTAGTTGCCGCTTTTGAGTGACATACACTGTATGCAGGTTTGAAACCTGCCAAGGATAAAATTCATTTTCTATAAAAACACACCTTGATATTTGCTCATGGTTGGTTTGCTTGCAAGATGATCAAAGTCATGTTTAGCCAAGTGGCTGTCATAACAGAGTCAAAATCTGTTTTCATTGGAATGCCACAGGTTTGAAACCTGTTGAATGTCACATTTTTTTGTATTAGAGCATGCCTTGAATATTTGCTCATAGACAGCATCTCAGACACTGATCTATATGTTTTTTTTCCTGTTAGAACACACCTCAACATGGACTCATGCGTACTTTTCTGAAAGCACCATCTCACTGGTGGTGTGATTTTATAAAATAAAAATGTTATCATTGGCAGGTTTCAAACTTACGCAGTCCAAGAGAAACAGATTTTGACTCTGATGATCACTTGGCTATTTGATATTAGTAGGTTTTGAACCCACACAGACAGATTTAGATTCTGTTATATCAACTGCTTGGCTAAGACCAGTTAGATGCACTACCAATCAGCTCATTCAGAAGTGAATCCTCAAGGTACATTTGTCTGCATTTTGTCAGCTCTAACATTAATTTCTACCATTCCCTTTGAGTCCAATCATATGTGATCCTTCCATTGTTGGTTGTTACTCATAATACAACTGTTAATCACAAGACATCACAAACATTATGGGCCTACCATGGTGGTCTATCATCAGCATTTTTTAGAGCAATTGCTAGATAAACAGGTCTTGAAGTCAAGAGCCCCAGAAGAAGTCTAATGTCTTTTGTAATAAGAGTAGAATAAAAAATCAATCATAGTGACCATACTATTGAAAGAACTGCCTTAAGGATTCACCTTCAATTGGGTTCATTGGAAGTGTATTCAACTGGTCTTAGCCAAGCAGTTGATATGACAGGATCTGAATCTGTCTGTGTGGGTTCAAAACCTGCTAAAGATTGAATTCCCAAGTTCTCACTAGAGTCAAAATCTGTTTCTCTCAAACTGTAACTGTATAGGTTTGAAACCTACCAATGGTAACATTTTTATTTTTATTCTATGAAATCACACCTTCACATTTCTACATGAATATATAGCAAGCAAACACTAGTGATCTCAAGCTTGATTGATATTGCTTTTGATTTCATGGATCCTTTTTTGCTACAAAAACTTACCAGAGGTGAATGCAAGTATTTTTGACATGGAGCTTAGTATATGACTAAAGTCTTGATGCAAACTCGGAAGGATAAGTATAGGAACAATCTAATTCTTTCTAAAGGTTTCGACTTGGTTGAAGAAAAAGAGTAGATTACACATCAAACTTTCAAGTTTAATCCTAATGACCTAGGGAATGAGGAAAAATACAAATCTATCAAGGCTGATATTGTGCCTTGAGGATTCACTTTTGAATGGGGTCATTGGAAGTGCATTCAACTAGCCTTAGCCAAGCAGTTGATACAACAGAATCTAAATCTGTCTGTGTGGGTTCAAAACCTGCTTAAGATGAAATTGTCAAGTGATCACCAGAGTCAAAATCTGTTTCTCTTGGACTGTGCAGGTTTGAAACCTGTCAATGATCAATTTTATTTTCTATAAAAACACACCTGGTTTTCTGAGAAACTCATCTTAAATGATCTTAGCCATGTCATTGCCATGACTCTGGTCTGCACATTTTTTGAACTGTACACACTCTGAAGGTCTATCTTTATTGATCCTAAATTCCTCTGAGTATTAGCTGCTTCTTTTGAGCTCATAGTTACTGCATCAAGATCAGCCAATATTTCTTCCTCTTTGAAATATATCTTGAAGGTTCACTTATAGACAATGTTTCAAAGACTTATCTTTAATAGCTTTGGCCAAGTGATCACCAGAGTCAAATCTGTTTCTATTGCATTGTGCAAATTTAAAACCTGCTAATTGTGATTAGTGCTGCCGAAGTTTGGTTTGGTCCGGTTCTGAGAGTGATTTTTCCGAACCTCGAACTTTACAAAAGTTCGGTTCACAAGGACAGCCCAAACCTTGAACCACTGTAGAGACTTGTGCGTCTCATGGTCTGATATGACAGTTTTCACTAGGGAGTACATAGCATGAACTTGTAGCATCACTCAGTGTGCTATCCGCAGCTATTCCTATATGAGGCGCAGCTTTCCCGTGCAATGCGCGCCATGCACGCACACTTCCCGCGCTTCACGATGTATATGCGCGTGCGCGCGTTCCCGCGCTTGAGCGCCCTATAGCGCCAGCCATCCAGATGCATCCATCCACTGTCCACCATGTTTTCTAGTGCGTATATTTCTATTTTTCTCATTGCATATTGTTCCGTCTTTATTTTCTCTATTCCTTTACATCTCACACTCTCATATCTCTTATTTTGCATCATATTATCACTTAAGCTTAGTCTCTATCAATTCCACAATACACGCGCGCGCTTTCCCGCACTTCGCACTAATATGCGCGCATGTTCCCGCACCTTGCGCGCACCTGTGCTTTTCCACGCTTCGCTTCAGCGCGTACCTCTAGATCTTTGCTGCACTCACTTCCCCTAGGGTCAAATGCACTTGTCGTCTCAAGAATAGCAGACTAGGCAACGCGTGACCTCACAACATTTATAGATACAGCTAGGAGCCTCTTTTGTTCCTCTTTGTATAGTTGTTTCTACACCGCACTTCAGTGAATGAGTTTGGGGGGTCCAGTTCGAGTTCAGAACCGGTTCGAACTATAAACTAAATGAATATTGCAAAAAAATTGACACATGACTAAGTAATTATTCAAAAGATCCACTGCTGCAAGTTCTGCATGAGCACAAGCTGAAATACAACCCTCACGATAAGCACTCTTAAGTAACTGCAGTGCCTCGAAGACCTCTGAAAGCAATGAGTTGCAATACTGTATGGATTCATTTCTGGCTGGGCTTGTAGAGACTGTTTTTACCTTACCTTATGTTGGCACTTTTGTAGCTTACATAAGCAAGTAATCTTTTCACCAGTTACCAGTATGAGTCTGAGTGCTCAGCAGTTTTCTATGATATTTCCTCTCCTCTGAGCCTTAAGCCTAGTCCAGAAACCCTTTAGGGTCAAATAGCAGCTAGGTTCTGCAAGACCCAACATTGTTCAGACTGACCATCTGAATTGTTGTACCTTCAATGCACTGTACCAGTAATGCCTCCATTTGAGAACGTGCACTCCGATGCAACTGCTGAGCCCTGAATGGTGAGGTAGTCTTTCACGATCTTGGCCATTATCGGATATTGCAAAGAGTGATGCTATGTTTAATTTTGTTAGCCTCTCGTGCAAAGAAACAAACAAATAAATATGACGCACCCCCCACCATGCAACTGGGTTCTTGACATCCTCCAGAGGAGCACAAAGGTAATTGGTGAGCTCTTGTCATGGGTGTTGGTGTGCGGTGTCAGTAGCGAGGCATGATTTGATGGTGTTGTGCATCCAACTATGCCCATATGAACCTTCACGTACCAATGCATGTGGTGCATTCTTTGTCGCATCAGAAGCAACCGCTGGCATTGACTTTGAATATTTATTGAACTAGAAAAATGTTGTCAGTCAAACAAGTTTGCATAAGGGTAGATAAGCACTTACTAGGTTTTCGAGGTGGGCCATCCCATCCTCGAAGTACTGTGTGTCCCATTTGTCTTTCGCATATGCTAGTCTGTAGTTAGGATCCAAAGCTATATAGTTTGAATCAGTAGATGTGGCTGATGAATTTAAAAGAAAAACTCACCGAGACAGACAAAGTACACGTCTGTGTCATCAGTTTTACAATACCACTTGTGGATGTTTTCAAGACCCAAGTGAATGGTGTTGGCAACACCATTGAACTTTGAAGCCTGGGCCATATTTTCCAAGGTCTCTTGAAGGAACTCGAGAATCGGAATAGTACGCTGTAGAGAATCATGCCTCTCATGGTGTGATATGGCAGTTCCCACCAAGGAGTACATAACATGAATTTGTAGTGTCACTCCGTGCGCTACCCGCAGCTATCCCTATATGAGGCGCAACTTTCCCGTGCACCATTCCTGCACTTCGCGATGTATCCGCACGCGCGCATTCCCGCGCTTGAGCGCCCTATAGCGCCAGCCATCCAGATGCATCCATCCACTGTCCACCATATTCTCTAGTGCATATATTTCCATTTCTTTTATTAGCATATCATTCCACCTCTATTTTTATAATGGACCCTTACTTATATATATCTTTACATACCTATTCGGTAGCGCTTCGGCTCCGCATGACCGCACTTAGGCGCGCTATATAAGCGCCAGCAGTACATACTACGAGAGAAAAGTTTTCCACTTACTTTTCACTTACTTTCCCTTTAACTCACTAGTTACCACCCACCATTTTACTTAGCAGAACATAATAGAACTCTATTCCTTTACATCTCACACTCTCATATCTCTTATTTTGCATCATATTATCACTTAAGCTTAGTCTCTATCATTTCCGCATACGCGCGCACGCTTTCCCGTGCTTCGCGCTAATACGCGCGCGTGTTCCCACGCCTTGCGCGCACCTGCGCTTTCTCGTGCTTCGCTTTGGCGCACACCTCTAGATCTTTGCTGCACTCGCTTCCCCTTTAGGGTCGAATGCACTTGTCTCCTCAGGTAACGCAGACTAGGCAACGCACGACCTACAACATTTTTTAGATACAGTTTGGAGCATCATTTGTTCCTCTCTGTATTGTTGTTTCTACAACGCCATACAGTGGGCTGACGAGTCACCGAGAAGCTCTGCTGAGCATTAGCAGGCTTCTATA